ATATTATATAGTACTGTTTCTGTGTGCACGTCTACGTGTACGAGCATGAAATTTCACATGCACTATTTTCGCCGGTCGCTTAGCTGGAGGAGGGCAAGCGATTGTCGCCTCACCGCACAGGCTCCATAGGAAATGAATGGAGAGCGAGCGACGTCGCCTCCCGTGTGTCGAGCCCTTAACCCCACCTGTATATAAATACATGTAAAATATTTATTTTGCTGATTTTTTTAAAAAGCTCTGCTGCAAGCCATTTCTAAACTATAATAAATTTAAATTTACTTTAATTACAAAGGCAGAAGAATACCCATTTTTCCAAAAAATAATATGTCAAATAATTAATGCCACATTAAAGGACGGTGTGGTAAACAACCTAAATACACATTTACAGAGGCGCACATTTTAGCAACAAAAGAAATATTTTAGGATTTGTTAGATGTATAGAAACAATGAATTTCATTGGATTAGGTACACATTTTGTGTAAAGACTTCCTTTGGTGAGGAAATCAATTTACATTTCCCTGCTTGCTGCTGCTTGATTAGATCTTTGGACGTGCGTGTCAATTTTTCACTCAGATTTAATGACAGGGTATCAATTTTAACTTGGTAGGTTTTGAAATTGGGGAGTTTTGTTACCTGATGCACTAAAAGCTCAGCCACCTCCACATGGTTGTTGAGGGCAGCCAGGTGCAGCGCCGTGTAACCGTCGTCCTTCTTCTCGTCTACGATCCAAGGCCTCGGCAGTTTGGAGAGCAGCACACGCATGGCACTGCAAAGACAGGAGAGGAGAGACGGAAGTGAGTGCTTAGCTGGAGTCGAGGCTTTGACACACAAGAWAAATCTTCAGAAATGTAAAGCGAATGAATTTGCTCTAATAAGATGTATATCTTTATGATGCAAAAGCCAAAAGACATCACTAACTTCATTATGTACAACACTGAGTCTCTGTAATGCTGACACACATTTTTTCAGTACTCCGTCTTTCCTTTAACAGCGGAGCCTTTTTTTCCATTTCTATACAGCAACGAGAATACCAAATCAACTTAGAGAGGAGTTGCTTTAGCAAGCAGAATGTTATTTAAATCAACCTGTGGGCAATACAATCACTATAATGTTATTATAAGCCCTTTTAATAGATGAGATACATAACATTAATGGCTTCAATCTTACAAACTGACAGCATAAATCTTTCACACACTGTTCAGTTTTAAGGTAATGTTCCTCACACTACTGTCAAAAATGTCTCTGAAAGTGACAGAAAGAGCCACAAAGCAAACGCAGCACTTGTTATTTGCCTGAGATTTAAGGGTAGTCTATATTTTAAAAGCCATAGAGTCGCCATTTACTCACAATATAATGTCACATCATCATAACTTATATTTAGTGTGCCAAGCCTGMAACGATTATGGAAAACGTATTACAACAGAAGAAAAGAGAAAAGATGAAATGATCACATTTTAAGTTTACTGAACAGCGTGTTATAATACGGAGGGTTTAGCTGCACTTTTGAAAGGTAGTTATCTGCTCAAGGAAACCGTAAAAAATATATTTTACTTCACTTGAGACACTTTATCCTTCGATAGTGGAGRTGTTCTCGTTATAGATCATTTAAACCCTAAATTTTAATTTAATCCAATGCAACAAACATGCTGGAAATTTGTGACGCGCTCTTACAAGGAATATACTTTAAGGATCTTCACTATTTTTCTTTCAATAATCTGGCTGGTAAATGCAAAAACAAACAAAATAAGATGCTTTAATTGGTTATGTTAAACTATGGAGAAGGAAGTGTGAATAGAGATGCTTTTATTCGTTTAAAACAATATGACTTTTTTTTAAATGGCTCATCAGAAACTTAAGTAACTCACTGCTGCTGTGCTGATCTGTCTGTTAAAGTAACAGCAGCTCGTATTGTGTCAAAATTGGTGTTTTCATAGGCCTGATCAACTCCCACAATTTCACGAAAAAGCCAAGTGTCATTCAAATGTGGCGAGTTCAGTTCAGTCAGATTAATGAAAAGGTGTGTGTGTGTGTGTGTGTGTGTGTGAAAGGTGCTTTGAGCACCCCTCTCGATCCCATCTCTTCAGTTAAAAAGAAACCACTTCTCCCTTGATAATGCACACAAATATCTGTCAACGGAAGGCAAAACAGTAATTACATACGATTTAGTCACTTTCACCCAGGTTTGGTCTTGAGAGAGAGAAGGACAGAGCGGGAAGGGGAAATGTTTTGTTTAAACTGTGCTGTTTAGCAGAAGGGGGTCTTGCCAAAGAAGAGCTGGTTCTGGTGCAATAAAGGTCATTTAGAGGACATGTTAACTGTCACTCTCTATAACATCAATGAGGAAAAGAGATTTTTTTTTTTTACTGGAACGTTTTTAGTAAGTTTTTATAAAAGACAGTGAAATTAATAAGAAGATAAAATCTATTGGGGCAGAACTAAGCAGTGATTTATTTGTGGCTGGTGAAAAATACAACAGCCATAGCCCGGCTGTTAGTATTTGGAGTCAATCATTTCTGAGCCTAACTCACTTCTCATACATCTAAGAATTTTGTATATAAATTAAATAAAATACTAATAAGATAGCCATTTATATTTAAAGTGTTAAAAATACACAAGAAAAAAATTGTATAAATTTGTGCAAATACTATGAAATATAAAATCTTGTTTTAAAACTTTTCTTGTATCCACTCTTGTATTACAAAGTACACAGAGTACTTTCAAAATGAAATGAAGCAGCAGTATTTGAGGGAACACTTATGACCTTGTTTAACCTCAAATAATTATGCAGGACATATCTTTGAACTGCGACAAAGGGAGGCAGCAGATTTTCTCTGACTGATACGGCTGAACGACGCTCGCTGGAGTGTTTAGGTAAGGTAAATAGGATCTCTAACAGTACAGCGAGGAAATGAGCTCCAGCATGGGGCAGGCAAGGCCACAGCTTGCGCAGTCAATGAAAACTGTAAACTATTAGGGCAGAAGAAAAAAGAAATGCAAACGAGCTGGTATATGTTAAGACAGAAGGTTAAAGAGATGAATGACTCTGTGGGTTTATAGTAAACCTACTGTTAGTTTCCCTCCTAAAGAAAAAAAAATAGTGAGCATCCTCCTCTTGAGGAAAGCAGAGAAAGAGCAGCAGGGAAACACAGGGCAGGCAGTCAACACCTCTGTTCAGATAAAGATTTGGTGGCTGGCGTACTGCTGCAGTGATGAACAGTGCAGCACACAGATCCCAGGCTCCCTCGCTCTCTCGCTCCCTCTCAATGCACACAGGCTTATGCACCTGCATTGCTTGCAGCCATCTTTAACTACTAAATGCAGAGATGCAGTCTTAAATATGAAAGCAGCCGCGCCCATTCTGCCTAATGTCACATTCACAACGTGTCACTGCAGTTACAGGGAAGCATTAGCTCGCATTCTGTTGATTTTCCATCTCATAAGGGAGTTTTTGGTCAATCCATTTGTCTCTCACCCACTGGGTAGCAGCTGAGACTTAAACAAGCAAGTTATTCAAGAAAAGCCACATCAGAGTCTTGCCCAAAGCTATTACATAAAATTTATTCACAGTGGTTAAAAATACCACACTCTTTTAGTTTTTCTAGACAGAATAATAGTATAAGAAAATAATCCATTGGTTTACAAGAATCATGCTGTTCCAAATTAAACCCAAGTCCATAATTATTAGTTATTGCTTATTTGTAGTTTTTGCTAGACAGAACAACTGTCCACTAAATGGCACTTGCTACATTATAGGGGCAAGCTAGTGACTTTTAATGACAAAAATGAAGCACTTAAGTGGTTCTTACTGTAAAATCCCATTTACTTGATACAAGTATTTTTAAGATAATCTAATTTAGTAGTAAACAGATTTTCAACCAAACCTTAAAAAAAGCTGCTGTAGTGAGTGCATTAGGAAACTCTGCTGAGGAAAGGAAACAGAAGAGGTTATGAAAAAAAGGGAGACATGATGGAACTGGGTCACCCTGTCAGAGATCCCACAGGTCCCAAAGGACAGTAGAAACACGTCTTGTTGGTTTGGACTGCAATTTGTCATTGAATGAGACACCAGCACCCTCAGCTTTGTGTTTGCTGCCATTTGTCGGTGCATGTAAGACAGTGGAAGTGTGTGCGAGTTTAATTGTGTTCGTATATGTAAGGGTTGACTAAGCCCTTCTGCTGCCCTCGACTGGCTGACAGCCATCTGCGTCGTGGTCAGTATTCCTTATAACAACAAGAAGTGAGAGTCAGGGGACAATAACTTGAGTAGGACAGGGCAGAACTGAAACCGTCAACATCCAACCAGAGATTAATGGCTGTGCGCAAACATATGGTTACTCTGATGTAGGAGACGTGTTTGGAATAACATCTTCTATTAACTACAGCTTTGAGCTGAAGACAGGAGATTGAAATTCTGCTTTGGAAACAAGGCACCAAAATGTGCCACCTGTTTTGAAGAAAAACAAAAGTAAAAAGACTAATCCAAACACGATCAATCTTACAAAAGTATAAGTGATCATAAAGGACAAAAGTATCAGTGAATGATTATAAACATTCCTTTTTGATAGTTAAACCAAACATTTAAAGCTAACTCCAACAAAAGCATTAAGTCAAAAATTTCCAAAAAAAGTACAGCAAGTACTTTGGGTAAAATGTGAACAATGCAACAATTAACAGTAAATAAACCTTATTTCTTTTAACAATATATTGATAAAACAGAAATATAAACGATTTAACATACACTAATGTAGATTTCCCAGCTGTGGAGGATAGGACTCACTTCATAACAATGTAGGATGGTATAACAGCTACATGTTTGACAAAGAGTTAAACAAAACAGTACTGGTTCATTAATCAAGCCAGATATTAGCAAACGCTTCAGTGAGACAAATCATTTTCTCCTTTCTATTCTGTTATAAAGACTTAGGAAAAAAATCTCCTGGATGGCAATGTATGTTGCCCAAATTGTCACAAAACATATTATTCAGCTTTATTTCTTAATTCATATACATTTATGTGCAAGTATTTGCACACCACCACAGATAACGGCTTTAAAACTGGTTACTGACAAGTTGGATGACCTCTCTCTATATTGGTCAGAGCAGGCAGTGACCATAAACATCTAAAATTTTGATCAAATAAAAAAAAAAGTTTATTTCCCCACACACACAAATGCATTTTTTTGCCTGTCAAGTGCTTTCAGCTAAAACAGTCTAATTTCTTACATGGAGTTTAGCCGCTTACATTCTGTAAGGTTTGTCTACATATCAGTTTCCAATTATAGGTAAGATTCCTTTTCCCTGCTGTACAGCCCTTCCTGGAACAGCGTTTCTAGATGAGACAACTGCAGACGATACACGTGGTGTCAGCTCATTGAAGGCAAGATCAATACTTTCAGGTCCTTTGAAATAGTGGACCCTGTCTCTTATAAATCACTCACAGAGGCAGGACAGCACTCCCAAATGGACCCCCATTTCATTCTTTCCACTCAGAGTTGAGAAGTGCTCTTCAGCATGTGTGAGAGATTTGAATGCCACTAAGTCACTAGCAGCTGGGAGACGCAGTGTGCTAAAAACTGTTCCTTTGACTGAAAATGTTTCTAAAAGTGAAAAAGTAAAAAAATAAAACTAATAGGCTTAGTACGAGAAATTGGGGAAATGAAACTGAATAATAACTAAAYGACATAGGAAATATTAAACATCACAATTTAATTGGTCATTTATGCTACACTGCATATAGTTATGACAGTATTTTTTGTGAGGCCATCTA